ATTACAGCTTACAATGATACGCTGTACATATCAAACATTCGTTTGTGTAATATCACCCATTACAGTTTACAATGATACGCTGTACATATCAAACATACAATTTTATGTATTATCATCGATTACAGCTTACAATGATACGCTGTACATATCAAACATTCGTTTGTGTAATATCACCCATTGCAGCTTACAATGATACGCTGTACATATCAAACATACGTTTGTGTAATATCACCCATTACAGCTTACAATGATACGCTGTACATATCAGACATTCGTTTGTGTAATATCACCCATTACAGTTTACAATGATACGCTGTACATATCAAACATACAATTTTATGTATTATCATCGATTACAGCTTACAATGATACGCTGTACATATCAACATACGTTTGTGTAATATCACCCATTGCAGCTTACAATGATACGCTGTACATATCAAACATACGTTTGTGTAATATCACCCATTGCAGCTTACAATGATACGCTGTACATATCAAACATACGTTTGTGTAATATCACCCATTGCAGCTTACAATGATACGCTGTTCATATCAAACATACGTTTGTGTAATATCACCCATTGCAGCTTACAATGATACGCTGTACATATCAAACATACGTTTGTGTAATATCACCCATTACAGCTTACAATGATACGCTGTACATATTACACATAATTGTTTGTGTTATGTAAGCCGATGCGGGTTACAGTGAAAAGCTGTTTATATTAAACATACATATGTATATCTTATACCAGCTGACAGTGTATTATATCGTACTAACATTGCAAGTTATGTATAGTGCATATACAGATGTCATAATGTGCTTTATCTTTTCACCGCCGTCATATAGCTGGAATATTGCTGAGTGCGGCGTTAAACAACAAACCAACCAACCAACTATATCTTTTCAGGAACTGCATGAGAATGGTCAGTCTTTGGTTAATTAGGATATACAACCCTCTCAGTCGCGGTGAAAGATCTTCTCGGGCACGAAGGGTACGCCGCCATGCTTTCCGGTGACCTTGACCCCGATGGGATGGACAAGCGGGTACTTCCTGCCACAAGGTTCCCCTCATGTGAACCTCTTGTGAGTGGCACCATGCCTGATGGTCAGGAGATCGCAATCTCTTGTCGTCAAGGTCGTATGACGGCCCGCAGCTGACAGAAGCAGAGACATATAAACATTATTTTGGAAAGACATATTAATTATTATTACAACACCGGTGGGTTTTGAGTTTACTATCAGTGAAATGCATTATATTCTGCTTCTCCGTCGTCCAAAGATCCGTGGCGACTTGAGAGTAACAACCTGGTTGTCAGGTCCTCTCTGTTCGCAGACAAACACTCGGGGCCTGCCAACATACACGACGACCGTTTCTCCTATCAGTATGTTTAGGGGGATGATGTCTCCTAGGTATATATGCACAATGTTTTTCTTCCCGAGCTGTACAGTTGTTGCACTTTTTCAGATTTAGTTGACAATAATCTTTTCGAGCAATTCATATTTTTCTCTTGAATAAAAATGTAATTTTCTTGTGGTCAATTTTTCACAACGCGCGTGGATCAGAGGGTGATCAGAGGACACTCAACACAGCTGTCTAGCGTTTGGTCAGATTGTAAGCACTGCTTGACATCTACCAACTTTTCTTTTCAACTTTTCTTTGAAACTGGCCGTGAAACAACTGTATTTAGGTGATTCATATTCTGAGAATTGAACTTGTGTTTTCTTTTGAAAGTCCGAAAGTACGACGTCACACATGGCCCCGCCGAGTGTGAACAGATCCCAGGGTCGAAAGTCACCTCTTACCTCCATTATGAAGCGTAGGAACAAGATCAATATCTGATCGAAACAGCTTCAGCTACACACCCCTTCCAGAAAGGAAACTACGCAATAGTGCGATGGCAGCTCTTATATACTGTCCTGTTCCCATTACCAAAACGATAACCAACCAATCGGCTACGTGCATTCAGAAGTGTACATCTTTACCAGGTGAGCGTGCATAATATCACGTGCCATTATGTCCCGATTTGGGGCTTCGCGTAATGTCATTCAATTTAAAATATTTATTCAATCGGCAGTACTTTAGTGAAATTAACTAAATAATATATCGATGTAGATTAAATGGACGAAAAGATGTTGATCAAACACTGGAGGAGGTGGACACGGTATACTTAACCGGAGTCATTATTTTTTATGTAGAATGATAAGTGGTTTGTGATCTTGTGGGTGCCACTTTGAGTGATTTTCATAAGATATGGAATATGAATAAACAGCCTTCAAGGTGAATGTCTGTTTTATTTATTGCAACATTAATTGTATCGTTTAGTGACAGGGTTTCGAATCACCGACCTTCCGCTCTCCTGACATACGCTCTAACCACTAGACCACTGAGGCCGTCAGCTATATGAGGTACACGTGTATTTAGAGGGGAAACAGAGACACAACTGACCCAGTTGTCGTAACTGTTAGTACCTGCTGGTCCTGGGTTCCAATCCTAGATTCGCATGGATTATGACCCTTGGTTAGTTGTCATCACAATGTCTGTGATCATGGGTTTCACAAACAGAGGTAGACATCTCTGATGTGCGTCATAAAGGCAGCTCAGAGATAAAGCTGACATGCTTTCATTTTTCTGAAATTCTGTTTTGTGGCTTCAGATTCAAAATGACTGAACCCACGTGACAGAATACAGACTGTGTTATGCCTGACTTCCGTCATCCGTTGTAATCTGTAATTACGTTTCTCAATATTATCATATGTGTGTATTCACAATTTCTTCAAATGACACATTAAACACACAATCGTTATTTCAACTGTTTTATTGTTATATGTACAAAGGTATAAGGGAAAACAAAGTTAACATCCTGTTTTGAAAAATAATACTTTGTTCGTTGACAAAAATAAAGGCTCTAAAAGGAGTATGGTAGATATATACGTGTAGAGCCATCTACAGAACTCCTCTTCGAGGATACAAAAACATTTTCCGTTGATAAATAATGTGAATAATCATCACCATCTTAGCAACAGAAAATAACAATAATTCACACGCATTGATTTAGCCGATGCGGCTTACACTTGTATTCCATACAGGAACAGGTAAAACCACCCTTCCTCGCCCAAAAGAGCGCACCATCTTCACTGCCACCCACATCTCACACACTCTTTCTCCTTTCCCAAGCCCAGCATGCGCAGATTTGATGCCAGGAATCCGTGAACAGTTTTTTTTATTGAAATACGTGCCGGATACCATGATTTTGTTTAATATTTTAAACGTAGAATCTAGAGTTAATTCCACCCTTTAGAAAGACATATTAACGAGATTCATGTTCAACTGAGAGATCTACCTTATTTTCAAACTATATTTGCAAGTTTAACATTTTGCTTGAAGATGTCTAGTGGTCTAGTGGTAGAGCGTCCGCCCGGAGAGCGGAAGGTCCGGGGTTCGATCCCCGGCCGCGTCATACCAAAAGACGTTAAAAGATCGTACTTGTTGTTACCCTGTCTGGCGCTCGGCATTAAGGGGCTAAAACAAGGACTGGTCGGCTCGGAGTCAGTATGCTGTGTCTGAGTGGGGTATTCATCTTAAACTGCGGCATGGTATCTCAGTGAGCTAGCACAAGAAATCGGCTTCAGTCCGGACTAGTACAAGCAGCCACACACACGTAAATGCACGTCGCTATATAAGTGCAATAATCTTGGACGCGACGTTAAACCACATTTCACCTCACCTCACCATAGTATCCTGCACGTATTTCAATTTTGAAAACCTGTTCACGGATTCCTGACATCAAATCTGCGCATGCTGGGCTTGGGAAAGGAGAAAGAGTGTGTGAGATGTGAGTGGCAGTGAAGATGGTGCGCTCTTTTGGGTTTGGAGGTGGTTTTGTTACGTATATATATATATACAACAATTATATATATACCACCCCGCATGATGTTACATGCAACAGTTCAAGGATTGATTTAATCCTTCATAACCATGATCAGGTTCAGGATCATCATAACCCAAAGCCTAATCTTAAGATAAATGTCCTCGTATTTGAAGTGTGGCCTCAAGCTGCGCTTCACAGAGTTGGTTGGACGTGTGACCTTGGACTCCATACAAACTGTCCGTGTATGTTGTATGCCTGTCCTCCTTGACCTTGACCGAGGCTTCTTTCTTCCGGTTCGAACTCGTCTTGGCATTACTGAAATAATAATCAAAATGGAACATGAGGTTATTTAAATCACCTGGTTTCATTTGTCATTGAACCGAAATGGAATACTGAAAAATTGGAATGGGATCATGTTGAAACCACCACGGGCATTTTCCATCAGGAGATGGTGACAATAAAAGCAGTCAGTTCATTTTTAGCAAGAAATTAACACATTCAAATTCTTTTCCCAGCAAAATATACCCTTTAGATATACTTATTTGTTAATTATGAAAAAGAGAGAGAATATCCATGCTGTCTGAAATATATTGGTCTAGATAAGGTGTTCCCTTCCACTGATTGTTTTCATCTATTTCACCTAGTATCTTGATTGAAAACATTTTCAGTGACCATAATACGCACACTCTTACCAACATATATATGATTATACCTAATAATCTGATACCAGAGACAGTACTGATAATGAACTCCTTCACTATTAACTTAAGTTCTTCAGTTCATCCATTCGTCATTGGATGCAGACTTCCAACAAATGTCTACATATCAGGTCCAAGTAATTTGTCGCACTAATGGTACTGAAAAGAAACGATCTGCAGTTCACACTATGTAGCGTATAAAAGGTAGACAGTTAAGAAATTGCACACCAGTCACTTGTACTATGCTGTTATTATTGCCGCACTGCACGTTGGAGATATCTGCACCAATGTCCAGTATCGAGCTCTGCCTTCCTCCATCAACAGCATCTTTTCTCTGGCTACTTTCCCTGTCACCATCATCTCCACCACCAACATATTGTCCCTGCCTTCCTTCAACCGAGCCATCTCCGTCTCTTCTCCTTCCTACACCGACACCAGTGCCTCCTCTATCTCTCCTCCCAGAGGAATATTGATCTCTCCTCCACCTCCCTCCACCATCGTCATATTCTCCCTGCCTTCCTTCAACCGACCCATCTCCGTCTCTTCTCCTTCCTCCAATGACGTCAGTGCCTCCTCTATCTCTCCTTCCAGAGGAATATTGATCTCTCCTCCACCTCCCCCCACTATCGTCATATTCTTCCTTCCTTCCTTCAACCGAGCCATCTCCGTCTCTTCTCCTTCCTCCACCGACACCAGTGCCTCCTCTATCTCTCCTTCCAGAGGAATATTGATCTCTCCTCCACCTTCCCCCACCATCGTCATATTCTCCCTGCCTTCCTTCAACCGAGCAATCTCCGTCTCTTCTCCTTCCTCCACCGACACCAGTGCCTCCTCTATCTCTCCCTCCAGGTGAATATTGATCCCTCCTCCCTCTTCCTCGCCCACCAACATTTTCTCCCTGCTTTCCTTCAACCGAGCCATCTCCGTCTTCTCTCCTTCCTCCACCGACTCCAGTGCCTCCTCTATCTCTCCTTCCAGAGGAATATTGATCTCTCCTCCACCTTCCTCCACCATCGTCATATTCTCCCTGCCTTCCTTCAACCGAGCCATCTCCGTCTCTTCTCCTTCCTCCACCGACACAAGTGCCTCCTCTATCTCTCCTTCTAGAGGAATATTGATCTCTCCTCCACCTCCCCCCACTTTCGTCATATTCTTCCTGCCTTCCTTCAACCGAGCCATCTCCGTCTCTTCTCCTTCCTCCACCGACACCAGTGCCTCCTCTATCTCTCCCTCCAGGTGAATATTGATCCCTCCTCCATCTTCCTCGCCCACCAACATTTTCTCCCTGCTTTCCTTCAACCGAGCCATCTCCGTCTTTTCTCCTTCCTCTACCGACACCAGTGCCTCCTCTATCTCTCCCTCCAGGTGAATATTGATCCCTCCTCCATCTTCCTCGCCCACCAACATTTTCTCCCTGCTTTCCTTCAACCGAGCCAACTCCGTCTCCTCTCCTTCCTCCACCGACTCCAGTGCCTCCTCTATCTCTCCTTCCAGAGGAATATTGATCTCTCCTCCACCTTCCCCCACCATCGTCATATTCTCCCTGCCTTCCTTCAACCGAGCAATCTCCGTCTCTTCTCCTTCCTCCACCGACACCAGTGCCTCCTCTATCTCTCCTTCCAGAGGAATATTGATCTCTGCTCCACCTCCCTCCACTATCGTCATATTCTTCCTTCCTTCCTTCAACAGAGCCATCTCCGTCTCTTCTCCTTCCTCCACCGACACCAGTGCCTCCTCTATCTCTCCTTCCAGAGGAATATTGATCTCTCCTCCACCTCCCCCCACTATCGTCATATTCTTCCTTCCTTCCTTCAACCGAGCCATTTCCGTCTCCTCTCCTTCCTCCACCGACTCCTGTGTCTCCTCTATCTCTCCCTCCAGTGGAATATTGATCTCTCCTCCATCTTCCTCCACCATCGTCATATTCTCCCTGCCTTCCTTCAACCGAGCCATCTCCGTCTCTTCTCCTTCCTCCACCGACACCAGTGCCTCCTCTATCTCTCCCTCCAGGTGAATATTGATCCCTCCTCCATCTTCCTCGCCCACCAACATTTTCTCCCTGCTTTCCTTCAACCGAGCCATTTCCGTCTCCTCTCCTTCCTCCACCGACTCCAGTGTCTCCTCTATCTCTCCCTCCAGTGGAATATTGATCTCTCCTCCATCTTCCTCCACCATCGTCATATTGTCCCTGCTTTCCTTCAACCGAGCCATCTCCGTCTCTTCTCCTTCCTCCACCGACACAAGTGCCTCCTCTATCTCTCCTTCCAGAGAAATATTGATCTCTTCTCCACCTCCCTCCACCATCGTCATATTCTCCCTGCCTTCCTTCAACCGAGCAATCTCCGTCTCTTCTCCTTCCTCCACCGACACCAGTGCCTCCTCTGTCTCTCCTTCCAGAGGAATATTGATCTCTGCTCCACCTCCCTCCACTATCGTCATATTCTTCCTTCCTTCCTTCAACAGAGCCATCTCCGTCTCTTCTCCTTCCTCCACCGACACCAGTGCCTCCTCTATCTCTCCTGCCAGAGGAATATTGATCTCTCCTCCACCTCCCCCCACTATCGTCATATTCTTCCTTCCTTCCTTCAACCGAGCCATTTCCGTCTCTTCTCCTTCCTCCACCGACACCAGTGCCTCCTCTATCTCTCCCACCAGGTGAATATTGATCTCTCCTCCATCTTCCTCGCCCACCAACATTTTCTCCCTGCCTTCCTTCAACCGAGCCATCTCCGTCTCCTCTCCTTCCTCCACCGACTCCAGTGCCTCCTCTATCTCTCCCTCCAGTGGAATATTGATCTCTCCTCCATCTTCCTCCACCATCGTCATATTCTCCCTGCTTTCCTTCAACCGAGCCATCTCCGCCTCTTCTCCTTCCTCCAATGACGTCAGTGCCTCCTCTATCTCTCCTTCCAGAGGAATATTGATCTCTCCTCCACCTCCCCCCACTATCGTCATATTCTCCCTGCCTTCTTTCAACTGAGCCATCTCCGTCCCTTCTCCTTCCTCCACCGACACCAGTGCCTCCTCTATCTCTCCCTCCAGGTGAATATTGATCCCTCCTCCATCTTCCTCGCCCACCAACATTTTCTCCCTGCTTTCCTTCAACCGAGCTACCTCCTCGTCTCCTTCCTCCACCGACTCCAGTGCCTCCTCTATCTCTCCTTCCAGAGGAATATTGATCTCTCCTCCACCTTCCTCCACCATCGTCATATTCTCCCTGCCTTCCTTCAACCGAGCCATCTCCGTCTCTCCTCCTTCCTCCACCGACACCAGTGCCTCCTCTATCTCTCCTGCCAGAGGAATATTGATCTCTCCTCCACATCCCCCCACTATCGTCATATTCTTCCTTCCTTCCTTCAACCGAGCCATTTCCGTCTCTTCTCCTTCCTCCACCGACACCAGTGCCTCCTCTATCTCTCCCACCAGGTGAATATTGATCCCTCCTCCATCTTCCTCGCCCAGCAACATTTTCTCCCTGCTTTCCTTCAACCGAGCCATCTCCGTCTCCTCTCCTTCCTCCACCGACTCCAGTGTCTCCTCTATCTCTCCCTCCAGTGGAATATTGATCTCTCCTCCATCTTCCTCCACCATCGTCATATTCTCCCTGCTTTCCTTCAACCGAGCAATCTCCGTCTCTTCTCCTTCCTCCACCGACACAAGTGCCTCCTCTATCTCTCCTTCCAGAGGAATATTGATCTCTGCTCCACCTCCCTCCACTAACGTTATATTCTTCCTTCCTTCCTTCAACAGTGCCATCTCCGTCTCTTCTCCTTCCTCCACCGACACCAGTGCCTCCTCTATCTCTCCTTCCAGAGGAATATTGATCTCTCCTCCACCTCCCCCCACTATCGTCATATTCTTCCTTCCTTCCTTCAACCGAGCCATTTCCGTCTCCTCTCCTTCCTCCACCGACTCCTGTGTCTCCTCTATCTCTCCCTCCAGTGGAATATTGATCTCTCCTCCATCTTCCTCCACCATCGTCATATTCTCCCTGCCTTCCTTCAACCGAGCCATCTCCGTCTCTTCTCCTTCCTCCACCGACACCAGTGCCTCCTCTATCTCTCCCTCCAGGTGAATATTGATCCCTCCTCCATCTTCCTCGCCCACCAACATTTTCTCCCTGCTTTCCTTCAACCGAGCCATCTCCGTCTTTTCTCCTTCCTCCACCGACACCAGTGCCTCCTCTATCTCTCCCTCCAGGTGAATATTGATCCCTCCTCCATCTTCCTCGCCCACCAACATTTTCTCCCTGCTTTCCTTCAACCGAGCCATTTCCGTCTCCTCTCCTTCCTCCACCGACTCCAGTGTCTCCTCTATCTCTCCCTCCAGTGGAATATTGATCTCTCCTCCATCTTCCTCCACCATCGTCATATTCTCCCTGCTTTCCTTCAACCGAGCCATCTCCGTCTCTTCTCCTTCCTCCACCGACACAAGTGCCTCCTCTATCTCTCCTTCCAGAGAAATATTGATCTCTCCTCCACCTCCCTCCACCATCGTCATATTCTCCCTGCCTTCCTTCAACCGAGCAATCTCCGTCTCTTCTCCTTCCTCCACCGACACCAGTGCCTCCTCTGTCTCTCCTTCCAGAGGAATATTGATCTCTGCTCCACCTCCCTCCACTATCGTCATATTCTTCCTTCCTTCCTTCAACAGTGCCATCTCCGTCTCTTCTCCTTCCTCCACCGACACCAGTGCCTCCTCTATCTCTCCTTCCAGAGGAATATTGATCTCTCCTCCACCTCCCCCCACTATCGTCATATTCTTCCTTCCTTCCTTCAACCGAGCCATTTCCGTCTCTTCTCCTTCCTCCACCGACACCAGTGCCTCCTCTATCTCTCCCACCAGGTGAATATTGATCTCTCCTCCATCTTCCTCGCCCACCAACATTTTCTCCCTGCCTTCCTTCAACCGAGCCATCTCCGTCTCCTCTCCTTCCTCCACCGACTCCAGTGCCTCCTCTATCTCTCCCTCCAGTGGAATATTGATCTCTCCTCCATCTTCCTCCACCATCGTCATATTCTCCCTGCTTTCCTTCAACCGAGCCATCTCCGCCTCTTCTCCTTCCTCCAATGACGTCAGTGCCTCCTCTATCTCTCCTTCCAGAGGAATATTGATCTCTCCTCCACCTCCCCCCACTATCGTCATATTCTTCCTTCCTTCCTTCAACAGAGCCATCTCCGTCTCTTCTCCTTCCTCCACCGACACCAGTGCCTCCTCTATCTCTCCTTCCAGAGGAACATTGATCTCTCCTCCACCTCCCCCACTATCGTCATATTCTCCCTGCCTTCTTTCAACTGAGCCATCTCCGTCCCTTCTCCTTCCTCCACCGACACCAGTGCCTCCTCTATCTCTCCCTCCAGGTGAATATTGATCCCTCCTCCATCTTCCTCGCCCACCAACATTTTCTCCCTGCTTTCCTTCCACCGAGCCACCTCCTCGTCTCCTTCCTCCACCGACTCCAGTGCCTCCTCTATCTCTCCTTCCAGAGGAATATTGATCTCTCCTCCACCTTCCTCCACCATCGTCATATTCTCCCTGCCTTCCTTCAACCGAGCCATCTCCGTCTCTCCTCCTTCCTCCACCGACACCAGTGCCTCCTCTATCTCTCCTGCCAGAGGAATATTGATCTCTCCTCCACCTCACCCCACTATCGTCATATTCTTCCTTCCTTCCTTCAACCGTGCCATTTCCGTCTCTTCTCCTTCCTCCACCGACACCAGTGCCTCCTCTATCTCTCCCACCAGGTGAATATTGATCCCTCCTCCATCTTCCTCGCCCACCAACATTTTCTCCCTGCTTTCCTTCAACCGAGCCATCTCCGTCTCCTCTCCTTCCTCCACCGACTCCAGTGTCTCCTCTATCTCTCCCTCCAGTGGAATATTGATCTCTCCTCCATCTTCCTCCACCATCGTCATATTCTCCCTGCTTTCCTTCAACCGAGCCATCTCCGTCTCTTCTCCTTCCTCCACCGACACAAGTGCCTCCTCTATCTCTCCTTCCAGAGAAATATTGATCTCTCCTCCACCTCCCTCCACCATCGTCATATTCTCCCTGCCTTCCTTCAACCGAGCAATCTCCGTCTCTTCTCCTTTCTCCACTGACGTCAGTGCCTCCTCCATCTCTCCCTCCGGTGGAATATTGATCTCTCCTCCATCTTCCTCCACTATCGTCATATTCTCCCGGCCTTCCTTCAACCGAGCCATCTCCGTCGCTTCTCTTTCCTTCAACGACGTCAGTGCCTCCTCTATCTCTCCTTCCAGAGGAATATTGATCTCTGCTCCACCTCCCTCCACTAACGTTATATTCTTCCTTCCTTCCTTCAACAGTGCCATCTCCGTCTCTTCTCCTTCCTCCACCGACACCAGTGCCTCCTCTATCTCTCCTGCCAGAGGAATATTGATCTCTCTTCCACCTCCCCCCACTATCCTTATATTCTCCCTGCCTTCCTTCAACCGAGCAATCTCCGTCTCTTCTCCTTCCTCCACCGACACAAGTGCCTCCTCTATCTCTCCTTCCAGAGGAATATTGATCTCTGCTCCACCTCCCTCCACTATCGTCATATTCTTCCTTCCTTCCTTCAACAGAGCCATCTCCGTCTCTTCTCCTTCCTCCACCGACACCAGTGCCTCCTCTATCTCTCCTGCCAGAGGAATATTGATCTCTCCTCCACCTCCCCCCACTATCGTCATATTCTTCCTTCCTTCCTTCAACCGAGCCATTTCCGTCTTTTCTCCTTCCTCCACCGACACCAGTGCCTCCTCTATCTCTCCCACCAGGTGAATATTGATCCCTCCTCCATCTTCCTCGCCCACCAACATTTTCTCCCTGCTTTCCTTCAACCGAGCCATCTCCGTCGCTTCTCTTTCCTCCACTGACGTCAGTGCCTCCTCCATCTCTCCCTCGAGAGGAATATTGATCTCTCCTCCACCTTCCTCCACCATCGTCATATGCGCACTCTTCTTCTGACAAAGCATGATCACTTTTTCTTTTCCAAGCTCCACCAACACCCCCAGGTTGACCTCTTTCCATCTCTTTATCAGAGATGTCTTCAGTGTTACCGCAGTTAGCGCTAGGCTCTACTGGATTGCTAGAATCTCTTCGAGGTCTGACATTCATTCTTTCCCCACTCGTGTTCTCGCCTGTTCTGTTACGAAAGTTCGTTTGAATTTCCATTGTCTGAAACCATAAGATGGCATTGTGAAACTTATTATTGGCATAATCTGTAATCTGATGCTACCGCGTTTCCTTTCTCTCAAGTTTTGCATATACATATAAACCTACATGTTTAAACATATGTAATGAATGATCTGTTTGGCACGTTGCTACACATGTACATAACTACCTCAAACATAGGTAACCATTGGTATAGCCAGTGCATTACAGTGATTGAATGTGTTTCAAGGCCGCTTTTGGCAAGATACCAGCAATATCACGGCGGGGGACACAAGAATGGGCTTCACACATTTTATCCATGTCGGGATTCGAACCCGGGTCCTGGGCGTGACGAGTGACCACTTTAAGAGTCCCAACCGCTCCGTGCAAAGTAACACCAGTGTTCAATGTCCTGTGTGGCTTCAGTCTGCAGTACATATAGATGTGGTGTAGATGGTGTATGTGTTATAAAGCTGTAATGCTGATTACACATTAGTACCAAAATCTTCCACTCGTTCCATGGTAAGCAAAGGGGTTCCGGTAAACAAGAATTGTTTATGTTAAAACTGAGTAAAAATTGTCATACAAATGTATTTCCTGGAGTCCCTTATTAAAAAAAACCCACAAAACAAAGGCTGATTAATGTAATTATGGGGAGGCCTGTCCAGAAGCGACAAACGCCTTCATATAATCCATTCTACGCTTAAAAAAATATCATAAGCATGTGTTTATGTACCACAAGTTACGTGTAGTGTCTTCAAACAAGCACCACTAAGGAAAGGAATGAAAATAACGCCTACCTGTCCTGGCTCCCACATTATCTGATAGATACAGCTTCGGCTGCCTTCTCAGTCCATCTAAAGTCCAACGTAGTAGCTGACTGACTGATATGGAAGATTTAACGTGCGCTTTCCGACTGTAGCGTATTTCGCGATGGTATAACGTAGTAGCGCGATGGTAGCTCTTATATACTGTCCGGTCCGGCAACGCGATCATTAACCAATCGGCTTAGTGCATTCAGAAGTGGCAATCTCTGCTTAGTATGCCTGCATAATGTCACGTGATGTTAGGACATCAAGCCTCGTGGATGAAAGAGGTATTGCTCTTTTCGCCAATCTCGCCCCTTTCGGCCACTTTTCACAATCGCAAGTGTAGGAGAGGTTATCTCCCATAAGTTAGACAGCCTGTTGTTAGTCAGCCAGTTGTCAGACAGCCAGTTGTTAGTCAGCCAGTTGTCAGACACTGAAGTCGGGGATTAATTAGGGCAGTGCCCACAACAATGGTACAGTCCTACTCAGTGAACTAATTAGGCATGTCTCAAGGTTCATTGTCTAGCCTGGCTCTACTTCCCCCAAACCGAGTGTAAGATGTATGGCTGGATGTAATGAACTCTTCCCCTGATGGTCGTCGCATTGAAGATTTCAAAGACTACATGGTTATCAACTGGGGGGATGATGATGCAAGGTTTCCGCTGCCCCTGTGGAATCACCATGAAACTGAAGGGTCAGGCACCAACAACTGCCTTCCAAAAAGTTTTTCAATGTTTTCTAATCCTTCAATTTCTTGTCTTCGGTAAAATTCCTTTCTGCTCATATTCTTTTGGAACACAAGATAAACTTGCTTTGGGACAACTTTTGCATCACATGGGGTTTACATATACGGCTTATAACAATCGTACATCTCGTTATAATAGTCATCATTATGTGCCAAAAGTAACAGCCCACAAATAGGGTGGGTGGCGCTTAACTTTTGTGCATGTGTATATCTTGATGTTTAGCTTTAGAAAAGTTGTTATTTTAAGGTGTCTAACAACTGGCTGTCTAACTAATGGGAGGACACCGTAGGAAATGGGACAACTTCTGCCCCAACAGTAAACAGGCTTCCGCCTGAACACGATCTTAGATGCACATTTGTTGGCGGGTTAAAATTTCATCTGTGTTCATTTTGGTTAGTCTTATATATACTGAGCTACTTATTTATAAGAATGATACTAATACATTCCATTTATGTTCGAAAACAACAACGTTTAGAAATACAGTTCCAACATGTTTGTGTAATCAAATATAAACTGACGGGATATACTGATTAGCGTAAATAACTAGTAAAAGAACTGCCGTGAACGTAAGATGAGTCCCATAACTTATTCGGTCGGACGCTTTCTCCCAGTTTGCAGTTTCTTATCTCTGACAAACCATGCAGAGCTGTCGTCGGCACACTAGGATGTTTGCATCACGTGACGGTCATGAGGACAAATATATACCCGACTTACAATGGCTACGAGTTACCTCAGAGACCTATTTTCACCGGAAATAGACGATCGTGTTAAGATAGAGGTGCTGCTGAGATCTTTCACCTCGCCACCCGATGCGACTTGTGGACGCTTACACCAATTACAGGTTACAATTATATACCAGATTAATGCACTGGGGTATGAGTGTGTGTTAAGATCGGGACCAGGTACCTCGTTGCTAGGTGCTGGATGTGGATCTTGTTGTGTGAGTTTTTATGCAGGCACCAACATATGGTGATGTTTCACCTGGATTTTGACCGTCATAGCAATAGGTTGGGCCGACAATCCAGTGACAGTAACAGCGTGTGTGGCGCCACCAGGTGGACACGGCATACTTGCCGTACTTTATATTCGTGGGTGTCATTTCGCTTCTTTTCTCGCGACATGGAACATGACATGGATAACAAGCATAATAATAATTGGTTTTGTTTCCATTGGAACAAAACATATTTTATATAGTTGATCGTCAATGTACCAAGAAAATATATATAATAGGATACATATGTCACATATGACAAAGGGAGATAACTTTTGACACTCTAATGGTACCTCTTTAGATTAAAACACTCAACGTGTTCTTTTATTCCATCAACTGTAAGGTTATGGAACACTATTGCTGCAGCAGGTAGAAATTGTACATCTACATCCCAATTCAAGTCATTCATATAGAAAGAGCAATGTATTGCATCTCCATATTTTTCCTTTGATGTTAGAAAGTTAAATATTTATCATACTCGATTAAGATACATGAAAAGCTAGTTAAATTATGATTTATACAGAATAGAGATATCGAGAAATGTGATCCAATATGTCAATATGGTAATCCATGTGAAATCTCATTTCATTATTTGTATTTTGTCCATTGTATGTCCACCAAAGAAAATCCATGTTAATAATAATTCGGGACATTTTACAGAACAACAATGTTAAATGAGATTTAAGTTTGATGTTAAACGGAAATGAATGTTTGTCCATTATCGAAAATCCACTTATCTTTAAGGCAGTGCAAATGTTTAATAGTCATTCAAAGAGATTTGGGTAACACATTAATGTAAATATACTAGTCTCTCTTTTGTACATTTCTTTTATATCTATACACTCGTCTTCTTTTCTGTTATCCTTGTATATGATTTACTGTACAAGCTTTGTAAATACCACGGAGGGGGAATCCTAAGTTGGATAGCTTGCTCCCAATCCATTTCAATCTGAATAAAATATGTTTAAACAAAAAAACACTTCCATGTCACATGTTGAGAAAGTTTTGACTGTTTTACATTACATGATGTTTTTGATATGACGGCTCATTTTAGTCTCTTTGTATGTTGTGCTTGTGTCTCTTTGTATGTTGTGCTTGTGTCTCTTTGTTTGGTGTGCTTGTGTCTCTTTGTATGTTGTGCTTGTGTCTCTTTGTATGGTGTGCTTGTGTCTCTTTGTATGATGTGCTTGTGTCTTTTTGTATGTTGTGCTTGTGTCTCTTTGTATGGTGTGCTTGTGTCTCTTTGTGTGATGTGCTTGTGTCTCTTTGTATGGTCTGCTTGTGTCTCTTTGTATGTTGTGCTTGTGTCTCTTTGTTTGGTGTGCTTGTGTCTCTTCGTATGATGTTATTGTGTCTCTTTGTATGGTGTGCTTGTGTCTCTTTGTGTGATGTGCTTGTGTCTCTTTGTATGTTGTGCTTGTGTCTCTTTGTTTGGTGTGCTTGTGTCTCTTTGTATGATGTTATTGTGTCTCTTTGTATGGTGTGCTTGTGTCTCTTTGTATGGTGTTATTGTGTCTCTTTGTATGATGTTATTGTGTCTTTTTGTATGGTGTGCTTGTGTCTCTTTGTATGATGTGCTTGTGTCTCTTTGTATGATTTTATTGTGTCTCTTTGTATGGTGTACTTGTGTCTCTTTGTATGGTGTGCTTGTGTCTCTTTGTATGATGTGCTTGTGTCTTTTTGTATGTTGTGCTTGTGTCTCTTTGTATGATGTGCTTGTGTCTCTTTGTATGATGTTATTGTGTCTCTTTTTATGGTGTGCTTGTGTCTCTTTGTATGATGTGTTTGTGTCTCTTTGTATGTTGTGCTTGTGTCTCTTTGTATGTTGTGCTTGTGTCTCTTTGTATGATGTGCTTGTGTCTCTTTGTATGATGTTATTGTGTCTCTTTGTATGATGTTATTGTGTCTCTTTGTATGGTCTGCTTGTGTCTCTTTGTTTGGTGTGCTTGTGTCTCTTTGTATGAGGTGCTTGTGTCTCTTTGTATGATGTGCTTGTGTCTCTTTGTATGATGTGCTTGTGTCTCTTTGTATGATGTGCTTGTGTCTCTTTGTATGATGTTATTGTGTCTCTTTGTATGATGTTATTGTGTCTCTTTGTATGGTGTGCTTGTGTCTCTTTGTATGGTGTGTTTGTGTCTTTTTGTATGGTGTGCTTGTAGCTGCTTGTACTGGTTCGGATTTGTGTCGGTGTTCTAGTGCCAGCCCACTGAGATGCCCTATTGCAGTTTAACATCGGACACAGTATACTGACTTCGAGCCGACCAGTCCTTTTTTTATCCCCTTAATGCCGAGCGTCAGGCAGGGTAACAACAGGTACTATCTTTTTATGCCTTTTGTTTTGAGGCGACCGGGATCGAATACCGACTTCGCTCTCCCTGGGCAGGCTCCTTATCCATTACACCAAGGAAGCGGCTTTCCTATTTGTAAGGAGCCATTATACATTGAGTGAGTGTGTTGTGTTTTACCCCGCTTGAAACAGTATCGTAAAAAGGGAAACATCAATGTCACACATTGAACGTAACTACAAACAGAGTTGTTTTGACTTACCAGGTTGAAATGTTTTAGAATTCCAATATGTAATATGGGGGGCACACCTGGTCCAGTTACCACAATCGCGACACCAAAATAGTTGTTTTTCGGTTCGAGTCTCAGATTTGCCAGAAATTTTACCTTTGATTTGTCAAGACAAAATCTGTGATCGAGGGTTTCGCAAAAGAACTACAACCTACGACGACATGTCATGATATGTCTGAAATACTGTTCAGTGGTAATATATCACAAGTGACGAAACTTTGGTGAAAAATCAAAAACAAAGCGTTATCTGTTAATCTGTTTTACTATGACATGTGGCTCTACAACGGTAGAAGAGAACAGGAAACACAGTTACCATCCTGTGGGCACAATCATACCAATACGTGTAGAGGCATCTACAGGATTCCCCTTGGAGGATGCTCAACATTTCCATTGATGAATACTGTGAACAGTCACCATATGCTGAGCAACAGATATACAATGTAATGCACACGCATTGGTTTAGCCGATACGGTTTACACTTGTATTCCATACAGGAATAGTTCTACCCACCCCTAGCGAGCCACAAGAGCCCACCTTTCCTGCTGCCCGCCCGCACCCTACCAATCCTCCCCGCCAGCCCCGCTCCTCTCCCATCCGATCAGCTCCTCTCCCACCAGCCCCGCAGATCTCCCACCCTCTCCTCTCCCAACAGCCCCTTTCCTCTCCCACCCGCTCCTCTCCCAACAGCCCCTTTCCTCTCCCACCCGCTCCTCTCCCACCCTCTCCTCTGCCACCAGCCCCGCTCCTCTCCCACCCTCTCCTCTCCCACCAGCCCCGCTCCTCTCCCACCCGCTCCTCTCCCAACAGCCCCGCTCCTCTCCCACCCGCTCCTCTCCCAACAGCCCCGCTCCTCTCCCACCCGCTCCTCTCCCAACAGCCCCGCTCCTCTCCCACCCGCTCCTCTCCCACCCGATCCGCTCCTCTCCGAACAGCCCCTTTCCCCTCCCACCCGCTCCTCTCCCACCCGCTCCTCTCCCACCCGATCCGCTCCTCTCCCACCAGCCCAGCTCCTCTCCCACCCGATCCGCTCCTCTCCAAACAGCCCCGCCCCTCTCCCATCCGCTCAGCTCCTCTCCCAAAAGCCCCGCCCCTCTCCATTCCGATCCGCTCCTCTCCCACCCGCTCCTCTTCTCTCCGCACCCACCTTCTCCTCTCCCACCGGCCCCGCCCCTCTCCCATCTGTTCTCCCCCTCTCCCAACAGCCCCGCCCCTCTCCCATCCGATCCGCTCCTCTCCCACCCGCTCCTCTTCTCTCCGCACCCACCTTCTCTTCTCCCACCGGCCCCGCTCCTCTCCCATCTGTTCTCCCCCTCTCACACCCACTCCGCCCCTCTCCCACCCACTCCGCTCCTCTCCAACCCACTTCAACCCATTTCAAATGAAATGGTACGACGAGACCTTAAGTCTGCCATTGACTTGACTGATTTGTGTAATATCAGCCTTACAGTGTTAAGCTGTACATATTAAACATACAGATAAGACTATTTGCAGCAACTATGGTACATGGTGTGTAACAAATATATCCTGAGGGGCAAAAGAAAGTATACCGAGTTTGTATTTGAAAATTGAAAGAACTGTCATTAAATCTGATATTGCCTATGTAACCATTCTTGCAACAGTTTGTAAAAGGTAATCTGTGGCTGAGTAATATTGTGTAAAAATAAATGGTTTATGGAGAATGTGGTAGATTTCCTCTATTTATATATTCACAGCTGAAAGTCATAAAGTACTGGCTGAAACTCCTTAAGTTGGATTCATCGAGATACCCTAAGAAATGTTACAATATAATGATGTTATACGATACGAATGGACAGATTAATTGGGTAACTGATGTGAAAACATTGTTATTCAATAGTGGTTTTGGAAATGTTTGGTATGATCTATTTGTACTATCTGAAAGTGTGTATTTACAAATTCTTTTCTGCAGAGGCTTAAAGATATATATCTCTAATCGTGGTCATTTTCGTTGACATTATCGAATAAATTTTAATATTGTAGAATGTTGAAAACTCATATATACACTGAACAGTATCTATTCTATATAAATATTAAGAAATACCGCAATTCATTGGCAAGATTTCGATGTTCATCCCATGATTTATGCATCAACAGTGGGAGATGCACAAACACTCCAAGGTCAGAAGGATTATGTAAAATGTGTAATAGCCAAGGTAGAGAGGATGAACATCACTTTGTACTTGTATGTCCATTGTACTCCACTGTGGGAAAATAATACATTCCTGTATACTAATCTAATGATTCAAATATTGTGAAATTCCGACAATTGTTAAACAGTCTAGATATATTAATAATACAAAACTAAGCCATGTATATATTCCACGCACTGTTATATAGAACCAAATTTGTTAATAATAGTCAAGGTTGTGTGCAACATCTCTGTCACATGTACTGTAGGCCTGGAACCTCTTGAGTGCTGGAATAAAGATTGATTGATTGAACCCCCCCCCAAAAAAAACCCCAAAACAACAACAAAAAAACAACAATTATATGTAAAATGATTAGTGATTTTGTTATCTTGTGGATGCAATTTTGAGTGATTATGGAATTTGAATATACATCCCTCAAGGCAATGGTTGTTGTATTCATTGAAACATGTTTATTGTACTGACCATATAAGATGAGGTGGGGTGAAATGAGTTTTAACGTCGCGATCACGATTAGTGCACTAATACAGCGATGTACATGCATGAATGTGTGTGTGTGTGTGTGTGTGTGTTAGTGTGTGTTAGTGTTAGTGTTAGTGTGTGTGTGTGTGTGTGTGTGTGTGTGTGTGTGTGTGTGTGTGTGTGTGTGTGTGTGTGTGTGTGTTGGTTGTGTGTGTTATCCCCTTAATGCCTAGCGCTAGGCAGTGTTGCAACAAGTACCATCTTTGAACGTCTTTTGGTGTGACGTGACCGGGTTTGGAACCACCAACATCTGTCCTCTACGTCACAGAGGCCGTCAACTATTAAATGAACACGAAAATTTAGAGGGAAAACGTAGAGGCAAACCTGGCCCAGTAGTCGTATCTGTTAGTGCATGCTAGACCTGGGTTCGAATCCGAGATTCGCATGGATTTTGATCCGTGGTTAGTTGTCATCACTATACTTGTTATCATGAGTTTTTCAAAAAAGAGTTAAACGTCTACGATGTCATAAAGGCAGCTCACACATCAAGCTGACATGCATTTACATTTCTGAAATTCTGTTTTGTGGCTTCAGATTCCAAAAGACTGAATCGACGTGACAGAATACAGACTTTAGTTTGCCTTATTTCCGTCATATGTAGTAAATATTGGTAATTACGAAATTATAAATGTTTGAAGACACCAAATCTTCAAATGACACAATAAACACACAATCGTTATCTCAGCTATTTTATTGAGACACGTACAAAGTTATAAGGGAAAACAAAGTCAACATCCTTTGGGCGAAATCCTACTCTGTTCGTTAACAACAATAACTGCCCAAAAAGTAGTATGAAAGATACTTGTCATACATGCAGAGCCATCTACAGGATTCCTCTTTGAGGATACTGAAACACTTCCATTGATAAATAATGTGAATAATCACCATCTACTTAGCAACAGAAATACAATGTAATGCACACGCATTGGTTTAACCGATACGGTTTACAGTTGTATTCCATACAGGAATAGTTCTACCCACCCCTCCCGACCCACAAGAGCCTACCATCCTCAGACCACCCACTCCCTCCCTTTCCCCTTTCCCCATCCCAACGTGCGCAGATTTGATGCCTGGAATGCGTGAACAGGTTTTGTTGAAATATGTGCAGGATACTATGATTTAAAAAAAAAATTTAAACATAAAATCTAGAGTGAATTCCACTCTTCAGAAAGAGATATTAACGAGATGCATGTTCAACTGAGAGATGTACCTTATTTTTAAACTATATTTGCAAGTTTAACATTTTGCTTGAAGATGTCCAAGCGAAATGTTGAACTCGTAAATGTGGTTTACAAATAAGATATCTCTCGGTAGAACATGCATCTCCTTAATATGTTTTCCTGAAGTACTGAATTCACTCTGGATTCTATGTTTAAAATATTACTTGCAAAATCATGTGTCATATCATATTTCAATAAAACAACTCTTCACACATTCGAGGCATAAAATACGCTCTTGAAATATTATAAACCCACCTGCGCACGTTATCATAAGTAACAATTTCTAGGATTAATTTAATCCTTCATCAACATGTTCACGATCATGATTATCATAACCTCGATTGAAAGCCCAATCTTGAGGTATTCTTTGATATCAATGTCTTTGAACTGTGACCTCACAGATTTGGTTGGACGTGTGATCTTGGTCCCCACACCATATTTCCGTGTACGTTGTCTGACTGCCTTCCTTGACCTTGACCGAGGCTTGGTCCTTCTGGTTTTAACTCGTCTTGGCATGACTGAAATGACAATGAAAGACAGGACCATGAGGGTATTTAAATCACCTGGCTTTGTGTGTTATTGCTTTAAAATCTGATTCTGAATAATAAAGATGGGATCTTGTCGACACCACCACGATTACATGGTCATTCATATGAGATGTTGAAAATACATGCATTTTAAATAAGGAATTGAGAGATAAAAAGTATTTTCCCAGCAAAGATAATTAAACAATTTCAACCTTGTTAATTTTTAGATATGCCCATTTTTTGTGTATGGAAAAGAGAGAACTATATGTGCTGTTTGAAATGTATGGGTCAAGATAAGAAGATATTTCCTTTGACAATATCTTGATTGTAACCATTTTCCAGTGACCATAATATGCACACTCTGACTTATATATTAATGATTATGCAAAATAGACTGAAACCCACTACAGATTGATTAGCAACTCCCTAAATATGAACTAAGTTCACCGATTTGTCATTGGATGTAAACTTTAACAACGATCTACAGCTCAGGTCTGTTGTCGTTCTAATAGCACGTATCACGTGAAGAGAGTAAATCTGCAGTTAACACTATGTAGTGTATAAGGTTATACAAGGTAGATTATTGAGAAATTGCATACCAGTGATATTCTTGACATGCACTATGATGTTAGAATTCCCACACTGCGCGTTGGAGATATCTCCATCGATGTCAAGCGTGAAGTTTTGTCCTCTGACGACGCCATCTCTTCTCTGGCTACTTTGTCTGTCTCGGGCATCTCCTCTCAGTTTTCGTCCGCTGTTAATATCTTGTCTTTTCGTCATTCTTTCTTTACCAATATACTCTCCTGTTCGCTCACTTCCACTTTCATCGTACTCCTGTTTTCCGTCAACAGCGACATGTCCGTCTGGTCGTCCTCCACCGACTTCAGTGCCTTGTCCTTCTCTTCCTCCAGTGGTATATTGGTCTCTCCTCCATTTTCCTCCACCACCCCCATATTCTCCATGCTTTCCTTCCACAGCACCGTCTCCAATTCTTCTTCCTCTTCCTTCACCGCCGGCTGTGTCTCCTCTGTATCTCCCCCCAGGGGAACGTTGATCTCTCCTCAATCTTTCTCCACCACTACCATATTCTCCCTGCTTTCCACCAACAGCGCCATCTCCGTCTCGTCTTTCTCTTCTTCCACCAGCGCCAATCTTTCCTCTATCCCCAGCCCCAGTATATTGGTCTCTCCTCCACCTTCCTCCACTCCTATCATATTCTCCCTGCTTTCCTCCAACAGCACCATCTCTGTCTCTTCTTCTTCCTCCACCGACGTCAATGTCTTCACAATCCTTTCCTACAGTGGTTTGATGATCTCTCTTCCATCTTCCTCCACCACTCTTACATTCTCACTGCTTTTCACCAACAGCGCCATCTCTGTCTCTTCTTCTTCCTCCACCGACGTCAATGTCTTCACAATCCTTTCCTACAGTGGTTTGATGATCTCTCTTCCATCTTCCTCCACCACTCTTACATTCTCCCTGCTTTTCATCAACAGCGCCATCTCCAATTCTTCTTCCTCCACCGACATCAGTGTCTTCACTATCCATTCCTACAGTGGTATGTTGATCCCCCTTCCATCTTCCTCCACCACTCTTACATTCTCCCTGCTTTTCACCAACAGCGCCATCTCTGTCTCTTCTTCTTCCTTTACCGACATCAGTGTCTTCACTATCCATTCCTACAGTGGTATGTTGATCTCTCTTCCATCTTCCTCCACCACTCTTACATTCTCCCTGCTTTTCACCAACAGCGCCATCTCTGTCTCTTCTTCTTCCTCCACCGACGTCAATGTCTTCACTATCCATTCCTACAGTGGTATGTTGATCTCTCTTCCATCTTCCTCCACCACTCTTACATTCTCCCTGCTTTTCACCAACAGCGCCATCTCTGTCTCTTCTTCTTCCTCCACCGACGTCAATGTCTTCACTATCCATTCCTACAGTGGTAGTTTGATCTCTCTTCCATCTTCCTACACCTCTCTTACATTCTCCCTGCTTTTCATCAATAGTGCCATCTCCATTTTTTCTTCCTCGACCGACTTCAGTGTCTCCTCTAACCATCTCCCCTGTGGTATATTGATCTTTCCTCCATCTTTTTCCACCACCACCCTGCTTCTCTTCAACAGCACCATCTCCAGTACTTCCCCCTCTTCCTCCACGGCCGCTTGTATCTCCTCTATATCTTCCCCCAGGGGAACGTTGAACTCCCCTCCATCTTCCTCCACCACTACCATATTCTCCCTGCTTTTCTTCAACAGCGCCATCTCCAATTCTTCTTCCTCCACCGACATCAGTGTCTCCTTTAGCCACCCACCTGGTGGTATATTGATCTCTCCTCAATCTTCCTCCACCACCACCACCACCACCACCGTATTCTCCCTGCTTTCCACCAACAGCGCCATCTCCGTCTTGTCTTTCTCTTCTTGCACCAGCGCCAATCTTTCCTCTATCCCCACCCCCAGTATATTGGTCTCTCCTCCACCTTCCTCCACTCCTATCATATTCTCCCTGCTTTCCTCCAACAGCACCATCTCTGTCTCTTCTTCTTCCTCCACCGACGTCAATGTCTTCACAATCCTTTCCTACAGTGGTATGTTGATCTCTCTTCCATCTTCCTCCACCACTCTTACATTCTTCCTGCTTTTCACCAACAGCGCCATCTCTGTCTCTTCTTCTTCCTCCACCGACGTCAATGTCTTCACTATCCATTCCTACAGTGGTATGTTGATCTCTCTTCCATCTTCCTCCACCACTCTTACATTCTCCCTGCTTTTCACCAACAGCGCCATCTCTGTCTCTTCTTCTTCCTCCACCGACGTCAATGTCTTCACAATCCTTTCCTACAGTGGTTTGATGATCTCTCTTCCATCTTCCTCCACCACTCTTACATTCTCCCTGCTTTTCACCAACAGCGCCATCTCTGTCTCTTCTTCTTCCTCCACCGACGTCAATGTCTTCACAATCCTTTCCTACAGTGGTTTGATGATCTCTCTTCCATCTTCCTCCACCACTCTTACATTCTCCCTGCTTTTCATCAACAGCGCCATCTCCAATTCTTCTTCCTCCACCGACATCAGTGTCTTCACTATCCATTCCTACAGTGGTATGTTGATCCCTCTTCCATCTTCCTCCACCACTCTTACATTCTCCCTGCTTTTCACCAACAGCGCCATCTCTGTCTCTTCTTCTTCCTCCACCGACGTCAATGTCTTCACTATCCATTCCTACAGTGGTATATTGATCTCTCTTCCATCTTCCTCCACCACTCTTACATTCTCCCTGCTTTTCACCAACAGCGCCATCTCTGTCTCTTCTTCTTCCTCCACCGACGTCACTGTCTTCACTATCCATTCCTACAGTGGTAGTTTGATCTCTCTTCCATCTTCCTCCACCTCTCTTACATTCTCCCTGCTTTTCATCAATAGTGCCATCTCCATTTTTTCTTCCTCGACCGACTTCAGTGTCTCCTCTAACCATCTCCCCTGTGGTATATTGATCTTTCCTCCATCTTTTTCCACCACCACCCTGCTTCTCTTCAACAGCACCATCTCCAGTACTTCCCCCTCTTCCTCCACGGCCGCTTGTATCTCCTCTATATCTTCCCCCAGGGGAACGTTGAACTCCCCTCCATCTTCCTCCACCACTACCATATTCTCCCTGCTTTTCTTCAACAGCGCCATCTCCAATTCTTCTTCCTCCACCGACATCAGTGTCTCCTTTAGCCACCCACCTGGTGGTATATTGATCTCTCCTCAATCTTCCTCCACCACCACCACCACCACCACCGTATTCTCCCTGCTTTCCACCAACAGCGCCATCTCCGTCTCGTCTTTCTCTTCTTCCACCAGCGCCAATCTTTCCTCTATCCCCACCCCCAGTATATTGGTCTCTCCTCCACCTTCCTCCACTCCTATCATATTCTCCCTGCTTTCCTCCAACAGCACCATCTCTGTCTCTTCTTCTTCCTCCACCGACGTCAATGTCTTCACAATCCTTTCCTACAGTGGTTTGATGATCTCTCTTCCATCTTCCTCCACCACTCTTACATTCTCCCTGCTTTTCACCAACAGCGCCATCTCCAATTCTTCTTCCTCCACCGACATCAGTGTCTTCACTATCCATTCCTACAGTGGTATTTTGATCTCTCTTCCATCTTCCTCCACCACTCTTACATTCTCCCTGCTTTTCACCAACAGCGCCATCTCTGTCTCTTCTTCTTCCTCCACCGACGTCAATGTCTTCACTATCCATTCCTACAGTGGTATGTTGATCTCTCTTCCATCTTCCTCCACCACTCTTACATTCTCCCTGCTTTTCACCAACAGCGCCATCTCTGTCTCTTCTTCTTCCTCCACCGACGTCAATGTCTTCACTATCCATTCCTACAGTGGTATGTTGATCTCTCTTCCATCTTCCTCCACCACTCTTACATTCTCCCTGCTTTTCATCAACAGCGCCATCTCCAATTCTTCTTCCTCCACCGACATCAGTGTCTTCACTATCCATTCCTACAGTGGCATGTTGATTTCTCTTCCATCTTCCTCCACCACTCTTACATTCTCCCTGCTTTTCACCAACAGCGCCATCTCTGTCTCTTCTTCTTCCTCCACCGACGTCAATGTCTTCACTATCCATTCCTACAGTGGTATGTTGATCTCTCTTCCATCTTCCTCCACCACTCTTACATTCTCCCTGCTTTTCATCAACAGCGCCATCTCTGTCTCTTCTTCTTCCTCCACCGACGTCAATGTCTTCACTATCCATTCCTACAGTGGTATGTTGATCTCTCTTCCATCTTCCTCCACCACTCTTACATTCTCCCTGCTTTTCACCAACAGCACCATCTCTGTCTCTTCTTCTTCCTCCACCGACGTCAATGTCTTCACTATCCATTCCTACAGTGGTATGTTGATCTCTCTTCCATCTTCCTCCACCACTCTTACATTCTCCCTGCTTTTCACCAACAGCACCATCTCTGTCTCTTCTTCTTCCTCCACCGACGTCAATGTCTTCACAATCCTTTCCTACAGTGGTATGTTGATATATCTTCCATCTTCCTCCACCACTCTTACATTCTCCCTGCTTTTCATCAACAGCGCCATCTCTGTCTCTTCTTTTTCCTCTACCGACATCAGTGTCTTCACTATCCATTCCTACAGTGGTATGTTGATCTCTCTTCCATCTTCCCCCACCACTCTTACATTCTCCCTGCTTTTCACCAACAGCGCCATCTCTGTCTCTTCTTCTTCCTCTACCGACATCAGTGTCTTCACTATCCATTCGTACAGTGGTATGTTGATCTCTCTTCAATCTCAATCCACCGCTCTCACATTCTCCCTGCTTTTCATCAACAGCGCCATCTCGGTCTCTTATTCTTCCTCCATCGACGTCAATGTCTTCACTATCCATTCCTACAGTGGTAGTTTGATCTCTCTTCCATCTTCCTCCACCTCTCTTACATTCTCCCTGCTTTTCATCAATAGTGCCATCTCCATTTTTTCTTCCTCGACCGACTTCAGTGTCTCCTCTAACCATCTCCCCTGTGGTATATTGATCTTTCCTCCATCTTTTTCCACCACCACCCTGCTTCTCTTCAACAGCACCATCTCCAGTACTTCCCCCTCTTCCTCCACGGCCGCTTGTATCTCCTCTATATCTTCCCCCAGGGGAACGTTGAACTCCCCTCCATCTTCCTCCACCACTACCATATTCTCCCTGCTTTTCTTCAACAGCGCCATCTCCAATTCTTCTTCCTCCACCGACATCAGTGTCTCCTCTAGCCACCCACCTGGTGGTATATTGATCTCTCCTCAATCTTCCTCCACCACCACCACCACCACCACCACCACCACCACCACCACCGTATTCTCCCTGCTTTCCTCCAACACCACCATCTCTGTCTCTTCTTCTAAATCCACCGACATCAGTGTCTCCTCTAGCCACCCACCTGGTGGTATATTGATCTCTCTTCCATCTTCGTCCAACACCATCGTATTCTCCCAGCTTTCCTACCAGAGCGCCATCTCCTCTTCTTTTTCCTCCACCGACGTCAATACCTCCTCTATCTCTTCCTCCAGGGGCACATTGACCCCTCCTCCATCTTCCTCCGCCACCAACACCATCGTATTCTCCCAGCTTTCCTTCCAGAGCGCCATCTCCTCTTTTTTTTCCTCCAACGACGTCAATACTTCCTCTATCTCTTCCTCCAGGGGCACATTGACCCCTCCTCCACCTTCCTCCACCACCACCACCACCGTATTCGCCCAGCTTTCCTTCCAAAGTGCCATCTGCTCTTCTTTTTCGTTTTCCTCCACCGACGTCAATACCTCCACTTTCTCTTCCTCCAGGGGCACATTGACCCCTCCTCCATCGTCCTCCACCACCAACACCATCGTTTTCTCCCAGCTTTTCGTCCAAAGTGCCATCTGCTCTTCGTTTTCGTTTTCCTCCACCGACGTCAATACCTCCTCCATCTCTTCCTCCAGAGGCACATTGACCCCTCCTCCATATTCCTCTACAACCACCACCACGGTATTCGCCCAGCTTTCCTTCCAGAGTGCCATCTCCTTTTCTTTTTCGTTTTCCTCCACCGACGTCAATATCTCCACTATCTCTTCCTCCAGGGGCACATTGACCCCTCCCCCATCTTCCTCCGCCACCACCACCGTTTGCTCCCTGCTTTCCTTCCAGAGTGCCATCTGCTCTTCTTTTTCTTTTTCCTCCACCGATGTCAGTCTTTCTTCTGTATCCACCTTCAGTGGTATATTGATCTCCCCTCATTCTTCCTCCACGACCACCGTATTCTCCCAGCTTTCCTTCCAGAGCGCCATCTCCTCTTCTTTTTCCTCCACCGACGTCAATACCTCCTCTATCTATTCCTCCAGAGGCACATTGACCCCTCCTCCATCGTCCTCCACCACCAACACCATCGTTTTCTCCCAGCTTTTCGTCCAAAGTGCCATCTGCTCTTCGTTTTCGTTTTCCTCCACCGACGTCAATACCTCCTCTATCTCCTCCTCCAGAGGCACATTGAACCCTCCTCCATCGTCCTCCACCACCAACACCATCGTTTTCTCCCAGCTTTTCGTCCAAAGTGCCATCTGCCCTTCGTTTTCGTTTTCCTCCACCGACGTCAATACCTCCTCTATCTATTCCTCCAGAGGCACATTGATCCCTCTTCCATCTTCTTCTACCGCCACCGACACCACCGCATTTTCCATGCTCGTCTGAAAAAGCATCATTGATGTCTTCACTTATACCGCAGCTTGCGTCAGACTCTATTGGATTGATAGAAT